ATCCACACTACTTTGACAATGTGATGACGCAATTTATTGTCAATAAGAGGACAGACACATAAAAATCTGATGTCAATTTGTTAAATATGATATGATCATTGCAATTTAAAAAGTATAAAGTGTCATGTTTTCCCCTTTTCAGTTAATTACAAGTGCTCTATATTTGCAACCAAATGTATTATTCATTAAGCTTTGCATTATTTGTTTTCTACTATATTAGGTGGATCTGGATGTGATAAGGAGGAACTGGCCATTGAGTTCACTGACTTGACATACAATAATGAATATGAAAACCCCAGCTTTACAAGGTACAAGGAATTAAAAAACAAAATTGAAACTGAGGTAACCATTTTGTACATGACTAATTCATAGATTCTATATACTAACTTATAGTACACTCAACAAAATTACTCGACTCTAATTGGTCAAGAGGAGTACAATTATAGCGTTAATTGTACTCCGTAGGAGTACTGTAGGTGTACTGAATTTTAAGTCGCTATGACAACACAGCCAAAACAATGCCAAAACAATTACTTTTTATCATTTTGTGCTTAAAAAAACATATAATTTTTTTAAAAAGCCGTTAGAACTAATATTTTTTATGCATTTCCATCAATTGCGCGATGGGCCGAAAAATCGGCCGCCAATAGACAAAGATGAACGGCGTCGCTTCGCATTTTTTACTGAAATTTTGTTGAGTGAACTATAAACAAAAATCGCACGATCTTCTCGTACAATTTGGAATTAATATACACTCGTAATGTTTTGACAGTTCTTTGATTGCTCTCGCCTTTAGTACTCGAGCTCGTGCAATTTGCTATACTAATTGAACTGAGTTTCTATTTCTTGCTTTCCTTAATTGAGATTTACAATGGTCTAGGTTTTAAATGTTTAGATTGCTGGAAGTTAAAAAAAATAAGGCGCCTGGAAGWGTGTTGGTAGCGTTATTATGTAATATAAATTTGTAATAAAATAAAGCAAGAAAAAATGATACCAAGTCAAAGAAGTAAACWATTTTCATTTGCGTTTCCCGATTCTGTTAGAGCTTAACATTAAAGAATAATATGCTTAAAAATTCATTGTTTACATTTTAGTGCCTTACTGCGTATGCCCTGAAAGGCAAAACCATTCACAAGTGTGAAGTAGTGAGATACAGGTAAGCCAGTATACATGTAATAGTGCCTTACTGCATATGCCCTGAAAGGCAAAACCATTCACAAGTGTGAAGTAGTAAGATACAGGTAAGCCAGTATACATGTAATAGTGCATTACTGCATATGCCTTAAAAGGCAAAACCATTCACAAGTGTGAAGTAGTAAGATACTTACTTTTAAGGCTGTGATAAAATATTATATTTGTTATTTATTACATAGTTAGGATAGTACATTTGTGCTCCGATTGGTCGAAAACTGTGGGTTTATTAGTGAAGAAAGCACAGCACTGATGCCMTCCGCGCGCGTGAAGTGCTGCTAGATCCTGTGACTGTTTTTCCTTTTTGCGGAAAAAAATCAGCATGCCTAGATAAATTAGTAGCTATATAATAAAACGAATAAAACAACTTTTACATGCTCCGTTAGAATGAGGCAATCACAAAGTGCCGTAAGCACCCAAGAAGTGTGAGAAGCGCTCGCCTAGGGCTCGTGCTTCCTGCGTGCTTTATTACTGAACAGAGCACGAAAAAAGAAACGTTTTATTCGTTAAAAAACACTGTTCTCTTCTTCATAGAAGAGGGAGTGTCGTAGCTGTGGTAGAGTTAGGATGGCCCAAAAATACCTTGGATCCCAAGGAGCCCCTTTTGCAAGCAATAAATGATGGCAACTTTGCAGGATATAAAGTGAAAACAGAATTTGTCAGTCCAACACCGATGACAGCCGCCCTTCCTCCAACACACCCCTCAGCACACCCTCCGTCACGACCTTCAACACGCTCACCAACACCCAGTCTTCCAAATGGTAAGGAACAAGTTTATCTGCTTGACCCTCTCTCTCTTTCTCTCTCTCTCTCTCTCTCTCTTTCAAAAATCCGTAAAATGGATATGAATACTGATTTCTCTCCTTTT